TAATTACTGTAGATACGATATTGGTTGCAACTGGATATTGCCAATAGATTCCATGTTTTTATAATATCGACTCGCACTTCATCACTTAGGTTAAAATTGTACTGTGTATTTTGTTTAAGGAAAAAAGTATCAATCCTATGTTTATGATTTTATCGTATAAGTAAATTTTCATAATGTATTGTTGAATTTTAATTATTTAACGATAATGATAAGATATGCATTCCAATTTTGCAATAACAATATTTTATTGTTTACACAGATTATTAAATTAAATTGCTTCATATCACATATTTATAGAGTTAAAAGAAACGCGAATCAGTGGTAGATAGTGGCTTAGCACATGATACCCGGTTTCTTTTGTACCTTGATCTATTACTGATTAGTCGTTTGCCTCAAACAAACACGTTCTAGACCAAAATATAACGAAATAAACATAGTCATAACAAAATTGTACAAAAAAATCACACAATAGATAGTCTCAAGTTCAACAACAAATAAGTTACGTAACTGAAATGGCGTCGCAATGCACGCTCAGGTCAATTTTGTATGCATGTTTTATGACTTTTTTCATACATAATAACACGTTATTACTATAACAGAATAACATGTAAATAGTGTAATAATATTTTAGCCTGCATCAGTTTATAAAATAGACAGCTATTTAAACATTTGCACTCCATAAAACTACTAGCATTCGCCCGCGACTCCGTCTGCATGGAATAAAAAAAACACAAGGTAGCCAATGTTAACTTCTAGGCCATCCTCTGCATCTATACAAAAATACATCGAAATTCGTTCAGCCGTTTAGGCTACAAACTCAAACAAACTTCTATCCATCCCTCCATCTAAACTTTCGTATTTATAATATTAGTATGATGTTTGGTGTTGTCATATGGGATTATTAACTAACACAGTAAGTTATTGATAGCACCAAATCACCATTTTATAATAATTTAGATTGTCAAGCGCTAGTTAAATCGTTATTACAAAAACTCAAGGCAATTTGTATACTAAAGACATGTGTTATAGACCAGGTAGCATTTTGCTTTACGTAAAGCTTCGTTATTACGCTAGTACAAAGCGCAGCTTGTGTGACTCGTGTGGGCTTTTGTTGAGGACGTTATATTGATGCGAGCCGCCCGGTGACGTCATCGGACTCCCCCTCAAACGCTTCGCTAACAGGAAAAGGAAGTGGGACTTTTATTAATCAACAAAGGGCGCTTACTACAGCGGAACTGTAAACTCATCAGCGAACTTTTACGTAAGCTTATTAGGAAACTTATTGCACTCAGAATCGTTAAATGATCACATAAGGAGCTCCTTAGTGTAGATTTCTCAAAGTAACACTAGTTGCAAACAGGCGGAAAGTTACAAACAAGTGATTTTATAACTTAAAATTGTTATCTCAATAGATTTAGCTACTTAGAAACGAAAGTGATGTTATCGCAGTGAATTCGAAACATATACTTAGAATTTAATATCAGCACATAATACTTCAGCACCAGCACATAATTAAAAAGAATACAATTCGTGCACCGCGACTGAAATAATTGTTTCCCATCAGTTACAACGAAGCTAAAACGAATGAAGGTCAAAACGCTACCGTGGAATGCAACATAGATGCACCTAATTAGAACTTAAATGTCACATCGTTTTGGCACGTATCCGAACGGATTTTGTATCACCTAAGTATAAAATTGCTCTATTCAAAGATTCTTTCGCTACGCTCCAGTGTTTTAACTACTTTTATTTCACAACATGTTTTCGTGTTTATTTCTGCAGTGTGAACTCACGACTCTGTAGCCGTAATTATAATACGTCTTTTATTACTAATAGGTTAAATAAAATGTTGCATTTCGTCAGCAAATTGCTCAGTATCACTTTATCTCCGATTGAATTTGTTGTTGCTTTTGATTTCGATAACGGATGTTATTTCCATATTTTAATATGTAAATGTATAATTAATGTTGTAAAATATTATCTCCAAATTTTACAGCTTTACAATAGCAATATTTTATATGGCTTGAACTTGAGTAATTGAATTTCTTTGCACGTACAAGTCGAGTTGAAGCAAAATTCGCATAAAAACCGGGAATTTATACTACATCTAGTGGATTGTGACCTGGTTTATTTTAGTTTATTACCGAATGCTTTTCAGGAAAAACCATAGGTTTAGAATATTATTTATACCTCTTGTACATTTAACTAGCTGACTAGCTGTTGACTGTGACTTCGTTCGTGAGGAAATAAAGTTTTCGGGATAAAATGATATTCCTGATTGCAAATTTCAATCACATATTGACAAACATCAATCTATCCAAACTTGCATATATTTTTGAGGGTAAACTATCCAAATAGTTTTTAATAACTTAACTTTACTATAATGCTTTTGTATTCTTAACCCAATTCTTTTGTTTCTAATACTTTATCCTTAAACTAACTGTTGCCCGCGACTTCGTTATAATGATGTTGGCTACGTAATCACAGTGTTTGCGGTAGGTTATGGATGTTAATATATATTATGTACCTGTCAGTTATTCCGAAAAAAAAAACACAATGTTAATAAGACATATAGGTATACAAAGTAACAATATCCTCAAAGGCTGGCTACGCATCTATAGTTCCTCTGGTGTTGCGGATGTCCATGGGCGTCGTTGAGCACCTCTGCCCCCTTCTCATATAAAAAAAAAAACATATTATCTAGTTTGCGATGTTCATTCTATCTTGTGTTCGACAAGGAATAGGCAATAGTTGAAGGCGAGTCACACATGCTCTCTGATGATAACGAGTTTCCAATTAATCTCCATAATCCTCTTATATGGACTTAGCTTATCGAGATAGATAATTACTTTCGAACAGTTTTTATCGTCCTTTTATTCATTTCAGACTTGTTGAAACGATGCATATTAATATACGATTTTTTTAAGTTAACCCGACATTTATTGAAGTAATAGTTTTGTTAATTTTAATCGCGATTCTACGGATGTCTCATTATACGAAGATAGTGGTAAACCCAGTGAGTTTGCAATTTTACTAAGTTTTATAAATTGTGTAAAAATTTTATAAAAGTTTTATAAAGTGTTTAAAATTTATTTTTAACCAAAAAACAAGTCATGAATAATGTACAAAACTCAAGATGCTATTAAGAATTATGTGGAGCACTGAAGTAACCGTCATATAAGTGTTAACACGTCACAAATACACGGGGAGCGACTGCGCCCTAGCGAAGCGATAATTAGTTGGGCCGCAACTGAAATAACCCTTCGCTAAGGACGCCTCCGGCCAACCGAAGCGCTATAAAAGAAGTAAAACAATAATCAGTGGTGCGCGGCCCTTTCTTCCCCCCTTCGAAACTAAACGCAGGATGGGGCGCTTTGTGACTCTCGTTTCTGAATAGTGTACTTTACTTGTGGGAGATTTAGATTAGTAAGCCCAACACAGCTATAATTACTGTATTATTCGAATACTCGTAAACAATAATTAAGTGCTACAAAAAACCTTACGCCAATAGGAGGAACAAAGAGTATAAAGCAGCAGATTGAACAATGCACATTTTGGATTATATTTTAGAAGAAAATTAATTAAAAGACCATCATGGAGAATATTACTAAAGGACCGGAAAGTTTCTACACAAAGATACTGTAAAATAATATATTTTGAATTGAATTATGCTTAAAATTTTGACTTTAATGAGATGAGTATTTACTTAAAAATTCAAAGAACGGAAGCCCATAATAATACAAAAGATAAAAATTTTATTAAAAAATCAGTCGGTCAAAGATTAGATTATGTAAAAGCTAATTAAAAAACTAAATGAATATCGTTATATCTGTAACATTTTTGATAACACAGATAAAAAATAATTGCTAATTGTGTCGGAAGAAGTATAAATGAGATTTATTGTGGATTAAATTTAGGTAATAACTGTCCGAATTTTCGTCAATCCGTTTATCGTTGACATTGTTCTATTAACCCACTTTAACGCAAGCTGTTATCATAGTAACAATAAAGGTATTGTGGGGCAAAGCCTGTCCCCCTTTAACGGTCTCACAATAGACCTTTGAACGTCGCTAGAGGGCGCTGAGAAAGTTCATGTCCAACCCGACATATTTGTCGCATCGTTGCGAATCGTAAACACTAACGATTTAAGTGTATTTACAAGTACAAATTGACTACAACTAACAATGTACATCTTTTAAATTAGCGAAATGCTATTAGAAAACGTCTGTCTGTTTTAAATTGCAAGATACTTCATTGTATTTCTGTATACTTTCAAAGGCAATAGAAGTTTTTCTATTAAAGTTTTTAGTAAGATCAATGCCTCTTAATGTAGGTAATTTAATGGAATCCTTTAATTGAAGTTGGGTGGTATTTGTTTTAAAATATGCCTCTTGCATTGTCTATTCCTTGCTTAAATCCAACATTTAATGTAATAAAGTATTCCTTATTGTTGATTATAAAACGCAGTTAAATTCTATTATTTTAGTAATTATGTATTCGTTATAGTTTGAATACGATTTGGAATGTTTATTCGTTTTCTATGAGCATGTGTTTAGCGCGTGACTCGCATTTTAATTTTATTTTAGTATTCATGTGCCATTGAAAGAATCGTTGGCATTCATGTTTCCTTAATATTACCAAAGGAAGCTATCAATTGTTAACATTACCAACATTAAACGATCTAACTATTTTTAAGTCCATGTCCCAAAACTCGTTTCTTTTTACCTTTTATGTTAACAAGACTTTTAAGACAATCTGGTTTGTATTTATGCCATATAGTCAATTTATGAAAATATTGTAAAACTTACATTAAAACAAATTATTACCAGTCTTAGGTATTTAATAAAACAATTGAAAATTAATGTTTCAAATCCATAAGAAAAAGAAAACAAAATTTAGTTTGATATTTACATAAAAACGCAGTTCTAATGTATAAAACTTATAATAAAAGTGACAGGTCGCGTACATAACTTTTTTTTAATGTATATTTTTTGTTTCAGGTAAGCTAAGCGAGACGTGCAGCTTGTGTGTCACACCACACGTGTCACCTTACGGTGAGTTAGGAGTAATCTAATCTGTGGTTTTGTTGTTAGAAAACTACTAACAGTAATATTATCTGTGGTAGAAAACGTTCACTGTAGCTGGCTTTGAAATTACATTTTCTAAATTAAAAAATAAACAATTGTCTGTTGAATTTAAACGTATTCAAATAAACTTCTTAGGTAGTATTATAGTAATAAATTGTTACGGTAATTACTAAATTAATTCAGATTAAGTAAATGTTTAATACTAAGATAAGTTAAAAAAACATACAACTTCTAACAAGTAATCGTAATTGCTGTTTCATGCGGAAACTTTAAACTCATTTATTTTAATAATATATTTGAATTTTATTGTGCGCTACTCTTTCAACATTAATAACTAAAAGTTTTAAAATAAAACTATAGTTTTAGTGGTTGGTTCTTTCATTACAAAATGATTTAAGAATGTTTTAATTTCTTAAAGCTTAAAAATCCCCTTTTTGAATTTGTGTGGCATCTATCAAATGTTGCGCGTAAAATAAAAGTATAAAACGCGTAAATTGGATATCAAGAATTTGCTTTTTTTTAAATATTATTGAAAATCTGTTACATTTTTTTTCATAATATTTTGAGTGGCAACTTTCTGTGTTCACTACAGAATGTATATTAAAGTGTAGGCACAGCTGTAATGTTAGTTTATGGACATAATAGTATTAACCGTGTTCGGAGCGCGGCCAATTGAATCGGGCGCAGTAATCAAGTCGACAGTGGGTCATCGGGTCGATCCCGCCCGCATCCCGACCTACCCATGACTTGTTAATATCACAAAACCCCTGTATATCCCGTGTAGTATGTTCCCCTATCTTTTTTTCTACTTCTTTATGGTTTGTTTTATCAAGTTAATTTGATTAATTGTTTAATTACATTATCGTATCTTTTGTTTGCGATACGAAATGTGTCTTTTTTTGATGTGATATAAAACGGCAAATGATACCGTTTTGACCATTATTTTATTTTCTGAACAAAATAAAGAACTTTAGAACATTAGTATTTTCAAATATTTTAGATATCATTTATAATTAATTTTTTCGGAACCAAAAAACAATCATCATAAACACTACTCGTTCGTTGTAAGAGATAAAAATGCTATTAATTCAAATAGCTGTATTCGATAATATCGCGTAATAAAACTACAGTTACTTCCTATGCGGTTGTTTCGCTACAATGTAGTCGACTGCGGCTTGTAAACAGCCTTTTATTTGACACGAAAATGTACTTCCGTATGTAACAAGTAATTTATAGCGAAATAACCCTTGCTTTACTATGTACGTATTCATTTTCATAGATAAAACTACTAGTAGTTTTATTAGAGTTCTGTATTGATTGATTGCCATGTAACTGTAATACCCGGAGTTGTTAAATGGTTAGTAACGGCTACACTAAGTGTAGATTTATTATTAACTAGCTTTTGCCGACGACTCCGTCCGCGTGGAATAAAAAAACAAAAGTGAGTAGCCTACATTTTCTTCCAGACTGTTCTCTACATCTATAGCAAATTTCATCGAAATCCGTTCATCCGTTTAGGCTAACAAAAATCCATCCATCCATCCATCTAAACTTTCGCATTTATAATATTAGTATTAGTATAATTATTCTGTAGTACATAGGTTTATGCGTATGATAATCGAATAATTGCGATAGTTAAATTATTAAGTTGTACGATACTAATTTAAACCAATTTAGTGTTACTGCATTAATATCTGAGGCGCGGACGTAGGCCTTAATATTAACTTTTTTATTCTCTTATCTTGTTTTTTTAATTAATATTTAATACTAATAAGTTAATCTTGTCTTATTTGATCCACGTTTACTGCTACCTAACCGTAATGTTTTCTTTTTTTCTCTCTAACAACATTGTACACCTATAATTGGATTTGTTACCATTCTTGTGTCTTAAAGTTTATTTCTATATGTGATTGTTTTATAACTTATCTGTTGCTGTACTTTGTGAATAAATAAATAAATAAATTATTTGAAAAGTTTTAGTATAAAAGTCACTACGTAAACTAAAACCAATTAAAACCCATCTATTTTCCGACACATCGCATCCAAAAGAGCTGGGAAAGGTAAACATTCCCCGTCGATGTAGCCAATAATCCAGTTTGCTAATTGCTCTACACTGAATCTCGGCAGCTATTAAATTTCGTCAGCCGTCATCTCAACTTGTTCGCAAAAGCCCTACATCGCAGAAACAGTTTACCCTTACATCGCATTGAGTTGCCTCAAACGTTCACCAATAACAGTTATAAACACATAACGTTTGCAATGTTATATGCTAAATTTATTAATTGGAATAATATCGATTATTTTTATTAACCACACCATTAACGGTAATAAGCGACTTTTTGATAACTATTGGTTTGGTAGTTGGTGTTGCTGATAATTTTATATGCATTTGAATTTTTAATTAATACATCAAAATGTAAGGTGTGATGATTCTTTTTTTATAATTAAACATTATGTTTAACATGCATGTCTATAACAATATTTTAAAGAGGAAATATTTGTATTTTTGTATGTACTGAAATAACTCAAAGACTACTGGGCCGATTTCAAAAATTCTTTTACCGTTAGAAAGGCACTTTATCTGTGTATGACATAGGCTATATTTTTTAATTTCACGCGAGCGAAGTCGCAAGCAACAGATAGTGAGGAATATATTTATGTGAAACCTTGAGAAGATCCTATTTCGTTTAAAAAATATATCTCAATCCATTCCTTCAGAAGAGATTAACCGGTTTGTATTTACCTATCAGCAAGTCTAGACTAAATATAAATCAACTAGTGTACGCATTATTCACAAAGGTTCCCACGGGAAAGTGGGATAGTCTCATACGGTGTTACAGGAGTGTAAGTGGGACAAAGCTAATAATTAATAAGCGATATTGTCGCCGCCCGCATGGCACATAAATAACTCTAACGAACGCAGAGTGGACGGATCGTCTCCCGTCTAATGTGTTGAACGTAATTATACCAAATTAAATCTGGGGAGTTGAAACGATATGAGCTGGACGTCTTTTTATAGATGGATTTATTGCATCGCAGACTTGATATATTACGGATGAGTAATACAGTTTTGTAAATTAAACTGTATTATATTTTAAACGTAAACTCGATAAATGGTATGGTATCATTGAGATGTGTAACAAAAATTCTAAGGGGCAGTACTACCAAATTCTCGTAAATTGCCTGATAATAATCAAACAGATAAAATACGTGACGGAAATATAGGATTTTTTTGTTTCACAATTCAAGATACCGATAAATAAGAACCTGGTAGTTAGTAAAAGCGGCAACGTAGCAAGGACGCTTAAAAGATCATATTCGGGCAGTTTTGCAAAAAAACTTTATTTTTCATGTTAAGATAAATCTTTCCTATTTTCTGCTAAAAAAATTCTTTAAAAAGATTTTATACAATATATGCTAAGTATTAAAAAATCGCTTATTTATTTTAATATTTGGTTAAAAATAAAATATATAATATGAAATAAGTGGAATGAA